TGTATCCTATATTTAAATATATGTCCTATTATAGATTGTCTCCAGCCTTTAAGGCTTTTACAACTCACTTTTCTAGTTTAAAATTTTCAAAAAAATACAGGATGCTCTATTAATTCCAGAATGGAGAGAGACACTTATGGAGGAGATGAGAGCTCTTCAAAAGAATGATACTTTGAGTGTGGTGCATTTCCCAGAAGGGAAGAATCTAGTGGGATGCAAATGGGTGTTTACTGTTAAATATAAGGCAGATGGTTCTATTGTATGGCTTGAATAAGGTATGCTAGTTGAGAAGTTCTCTTTATAGTCTCAAACAATCACCACTTGCATGGTTTGAGAGGTTCACAAGGTCAGTTCATGACCATGGTTACACTCAAAAGTCACTCGAGCTATATAATGTTCTATAAACACTTAGATAAGGGAGATATTACTATTCTTATAGTTTATGTGGATGATATTATCCTAATAGGCAATGATATCTCAGAATTGGATAAATTGAAGCATATCCTAGCCAAAGAGTTTGAAATTAAAGATCTTAGCTAGCTAAGATATTTCTTGGGCATGGAAATAGCAAGATCAGATATTTATTTCACAAAGGTAATACACCGTAGACCTTCTAAAAGAAACATGGATGCTTGGTTATAAACCTATGGATACTCCAATAGATCTCAATTATAAATTGGGATGTGTTTCTCAAAGAGCCATGGTAGATTCAATCAAATATTAGAGATTGGTAGGTAAGTTGATTTACCTATCTCAGGCTCGCCCATACTTGGCATTTGCAATGAGTGTAGTGAGTCAATTTATGCATTCATCAATAGTGATTTAAAAAATGCTATGCCAGTGATTTTAAAAGGCGCTTGGGCACTCGCCTAAGCGCTTAGGCGAGGCGAGGCCCGAGCGCCTCGTTTATTATCCAGGCGACGTGCTTCAAAGAGGCGTCGCTTGGGCGCTTACTCGAGCCTAGGCGTCGAGCGCTTTGGGCGAGCGCTCGGGTTAAATCAGGCGGCCGAACTAGCATGTTAGGTCTGGTTCGGTCGCATTTACGTTAGTTGGTTCAATCGAACCAACTAAAGTATCGATATTAGCCTCTCTCCACTGACCCTCGCGACTTCCCCAACCCTAACCCGACTCCTGCCATCGACATTTTCTTTCTGCTGTCGCGGCCTCTCTCCGCTGTCGCTATCCTCCGCTATCGTTGCTCTCCACTCTGCCTCTCTCCGTTGCCGCTGTTGCTATCGCTACTCTTTGCTATTGCTGCTCTCCGTTGTCGTTGTCACTGTCGCTACTCGCCATTGCCACTATCGTTGCTCATTGTTGCCGCTGCTGTTAATTAGTAGCCTCCGCTCTTAGTCAGCAGCCTCGGTCTCTTCTCTTCTCACACTCTTCTCACATTCAACTCAGTATACTGTTAACACTAACATTATACTATTAACCAAGGTATGCAGTTTTGAATAATACCGCCTATACCGGGCGGTACGTACTGGTCCGTCAGCTGACCGGTTCATGGACCGCTCGTTACCGGACGGTATATATATATATATTAAAGGCGACGTCGCGTCGCCTTGGTGACATCGCCGAAAAAGGCGACGTCTTCCGGAGAAGGAAAAAAAAAAGTATATATATATATATATATATACCGAACGATATACCGCTCGGTATACTGTATCGTACCGTATCGAGCAAATGTCGAAATGTCGATATGGTACGATATTTCAAACCTTGCTATTAACAATATTTTCTATTTATTAGATTAATAATATATTATTTTGATTTTAATACTGCTAACTTTATTTATTGTTTTGAATTTTGAGACTTTTGTTAATGTGATATTATGACTTTATACTTAAGGTTTTCTTAATTTAATATTATTTTTTAAATAATTATATTTATTAATTATATTATATATTTTTTATATTTTAGCATCTCATTTTGCTCACTCGAGCGCCTAGTGCCTCAGGCATTTTGGAACTTTGACGTCTTTTAGCACCTAGCACTTTTTAAATTACTACGCTATACAATAAGGTCCTAAAATGCCCGAGGTTCTAGGCACTCGCTCGAGCAAAGCGAGGTGCCTTGAAATATTAAAATATAAAAAATATATAATACAATTGATAAATAGAAATTGCGATAGGGTTGCTCGAGGTCGCTAGTGGGGGTGGCAGGGGGTGGGTTTTGTAAGTAAAGTAACTTTTTGTAGCTTAGTTGGTTCAATTGAACAAACTAGCTATTGTTCAATCGAACTAGACTTAATAGTGTGGTTTGGTTGCATTGTTTCAACCTGACGCCTGGGATCAAGCGAGCGCCCAAGTGACGTTTCACTGAAGAGCGCCACTTGGTGAATCTGTGAAGCTCTCCGACCTCGCCTCGCCTCACCTAAGCACCTAGGCGAGAGCTCATGTGCTTATTTAAACCCTTGTTCACCATATGAAGAACATTTAAAAACAGTATATAGGATCCTTAGATATTTGAAAATGACTTCAGGCAATAAATTATTATTTAAAAATGACAATCATATAAGAATTGAGGCCTTCACCGATGCTGATTAGGCAAGATCAAGAAGTGATAAGTAATCAACTTTAGGATATTGTATATTTGTTGGAGGTAATTTAGTGACTTGGAGGAGCAAGATATAGACAGTTGTTGCTAGAAGCAGTGCTGAAGCAGAGTTCAGAGCAGGTAGCACAAGGTATTTGTGAACTCTTACGGCTAAAAATGCTTCTAAAGGATTTACGAATACCTATTGAAACTCCTATGAGACTATATTGTAACAATAAGATTGCTATTAACATTCATAATCTAGTGCACCATGATAGAATAAAGCATGTTGAAGTAGATCAACGTTTCCTAAATGAGAAAATTGAAGAAGGAATTGTCTGCATGCCTTAAATTCCTACAGAAAAGCAATTAGCGGATATTCTTATCAAAAGGCTTCAAAGATCTTCTTATGAGGATCTAACTAGCAAGCTGGGAATGATTGACATCTTCGAGCCAGCTTGAGGGGGAGTGTAGAAAATCCCATAATTGAGGGATTCTGAATCTCATAATTAAGGGATTTTATAATCCCGTAATTAAGGGAGTATCCCCTATTTTGGGCCACTTAATCAGTATCAAATCAGCCCATTATTAACGGAAATGAATTAGAATGAAATATTGCACAGAATCAATTTCCTTAGTTGTATAGGTTGTAATCAGCCTATATATGTCTTCCATTGTATACAAAAAAAAAAATGAATTGAGAAAAATTATATTCTCTTGTGTTCATAAAGTTTAGTAGGTAGGACCTGGTAACATTTAGAAGACACTAATTTTGCAACTCTATGAATGGTTAGTTCTTTTGTAATGATCAGTGATGTGCATCTGTTTGCCATGTCACATTAAAGAGGCAGTTTGTGCTCCTGATAACTATTAGTTAATGTATTTTTTTTAAAGTAAAACAGCTAAATTAACTACTCAAAAGTCTGGAATACAGTCTCCTCTTTATCAGAGGTAATGATGCTACAAAAGTCAGCTGGCGAAGAACTAGAGTTCTTTGCAAACGTTGCTGCCCAATTAACAGCATTGTTGGCTTTCCTGAAGTTAATGTATTAATCTACCAATATATGGTATGATGGAGACTTTGAGTTTGGTAAGTAGCCGTTCTTCAAGATTTGAAGCCTTATATATAATAGTTTACTGCCTGGCTCTCCCTGGAAAGTGGAAGTGAAAAATTAGTTTAATATTTTTTTAGTTACAAATGAAAAATCAAGTTAAAAAGGAAAATTGGAAAAGAAATTTGATATATATATATATATATAGAGAGAGAGAGAGAGAGAGAGAGAGGCCTTTCATAAAATTAAATGCAGGTTTAATGATGTAACCATCTACATCAAAGTCCATTCAAGATCTGTTGTACACTTGGAATTGGAAGGACACTTGGAATAGGAAGCATAGGTGGTTTTTTGTTCTACGAGACTTATTAGGTTTAGTTTGGCAATAATTGGGCATTTTGTAGACTAGACTGTCATGCTGAATACCAAGGTTCAATAGTTAAATAGGCCTGACATCTGAATAGCTATTGCTTAATGAAAACAAGACACTTTTTTGTTACCAAGTAATTCCATTTTCTTTTCATTTTAATTGTTGGATGCAACATAAACACAATCCTTTTAGGATTCTTCTTAGGTATCAGGATTAAGCTCCAGCTTTACCTCTATTCTGTTCTGATTTTTTTCTGTGTCTGCATTACTCTTGCATAGCTTTCATGTGAAGGGCTTTCCACCCAAGTTCTTTCTGAAATGTTGGGCAGTGATATGTAGTCATTTTTATTGATTACCTGAATTCAATTTTATAAAAAGTTGGATCTGACTATTGGTTAGATCCCTGTCATTGTATTTTTGTTCTTGGATATGATTTTCTATTAATTGAGATTCTTGGTTTTTAACCTATTTTTTGTTTTCAGAAAGCTTAGTATGAATATTTATTTAGTATGTTGGTATGTTTTCCAGTAATTTTGGGGTGCTTTATGTGTTCAGTTGAAGTTTTAAATACAATCTACACTTCTCCTGAGTTTAACTGCTATCATGCTGCATGACAATGCTCTTCTTTACCTTTTATTAAAAAAATCTTGCTTATGGTATGAAGCTTACTAGTCAAAAGTAAATAAAATATCTGCATGGAATGTAGGTGGATAAGATTGATCCAGATTTTGTTCTTGTGAGGACTTATATGTTAACATGATCATATAGCCCATTTTGACCAACCGACATAATTGTGCAGTGACAATGCGTTAAATTATACTTCTTGTTAGTCATGAATAATGATGCCATAGATGTGCTCTTTTCATTAGATATGCTTTCAGTTTCATCTGTCCATGTGGAAAGGTATAGTATGGATACCGACAAAAATGCCAATAAATGCAACAAGATCCTTTTGTCTTTTAGATAGTTCATGTTTATTACTCTTAAGCAGCGAACTTTCTTGCTATTCAGGAGTTGCACTTACCTTTTCTTTTCCCCCTTCAGCGTCTTGTTAGGTGCAGCAGTAGTTGTTGAGAGAAGTTCTGAAACTGTGTGGAAAATGAACAATTCTGGGGTACAATTTCTCAACTTTTTATTCTGACTTGCCATTAGATAGTGATGGTTTTATGTGCTGCTTTTTTATCTCCATCCTATCTGTAGGTCTTAGTTTGAAGATAAAAAATAGGTTTGACTCATTTGACAATGTAATAAGAGCCTTTGTATTTAGTACCTGAATTATCTAAGGTAATCATAGGAGCCATATCTGCTTCATTATCATGCTTTAAACCGCATACTGCATAAATCCCATGGAACTATGGGTGACATTTATCTGACTCTGTTGCATATCAAATGTAGGAATCAATTAATCCATAAGCAATAACTTGATCTTCTTTTGGTTGTATAAGCTGAAAGTGTTTGGTGGTGTGACTTTCTCTACATTTCTTTTGGTTGTTATACATTCTTTAGTTACAATAAGGTGTCTATTTTTAGAGTCAGTATTAGTTGAGCAAATTGATAAGAGCTTATGCTTACAGTAAGAGCTTTTGACATGAGCTGGTTTTTCTCATATCAAGGTTGATGTTGGGCCCACTTTGAGCCCTCCCACTATATTTATTAATGGAAAAGTGCTGGTGTTAGCTTTGTTTTTTTCCCAAAACAGAATTGTTGTATTATCAAAAGTCTGATACATCCAAATCCTTGCTCATCCTAGCACTAAAACTTGATAGGTCAGGAGGCCGATGCCACCTCCAGGTTTAATAACATTTGCTGGTTTTAGCATGTGAACAGCAAGTCAGTCGGTACATTTGTTACCTTTCCTGTAAAGTTTTGTGAGCACGAAATTGACTCAGAAGCAAAAAAATATTATCACTGACAGAGTTAGTCTCCAGGATCTTAACCAGAGTCTCTGCATCTGTTTTTACCATTATTTGTTGAGTTCCCTACTGTAACGCATGAGTTAGGCTTCTTGAATTGCAATGACCTTCCGGAAAATTTCATTCTGCGAAAACTAGTGTGAGCGTTGCCGCTACCCTTCATCTTATCAACTCTGTTGCTCAAGAATGTTATAATAAATAAGCTAATAAATGACTGGCATTTTTCTGCAGAAATCGTTTGAAGAAGCAATGGAGTCGATCGAACAAAATAAGGTCAATAAGGAGAAGAGTTGATACACTCTGCTAATAACAAGTCAAAGTCTCATAAAAGTGCACAGATTCTTGGATAGACTTGTATATCTGATTCCGTAAGTGCTACTCATCTCAAACTGACTATTTCTGTCGTCAATTGTGATTAAGTTTTTTCTTTTTTCATATAGTTGTGAAAAAATATATATTAAAAGATGATAAATGTTACATGCGACTCCCATCTGCGTGGGGTGTACTTTTGTAATTGATTGCATTATATGTTATACCATGGGATTTGTCATGTTTAAACATTACCTTTTCTTTTGTAATTTAGGTGTAAATTGTTATAATGTATTTATGGAAACATGTTCTTGCACAACGTGAAATCAAATTTACTTGAGTTGGGCTTGATGGGCCTAATGGGTCGAGCCTAACCTATTATATTAAGCAGCCCCAAATCAACCTCTTCTTTAATTTGTCTTTATACTCCTCATCAAACTAGATAAAGCATGACTATTTCTCTCATTTTTCACCCTTTATCTGAGTCTCTTTGCTCTTTCCTTTATGGAGGCTAAGAACCCTAGTCCTAAGGAAAAACAAGATAAGAAAACCTAACCCTTTATAGATATACCTACTAGGGTTTTAGCTTAGCAAGTTGTAAACTTATATTTTAGATGCTTTTGAATAATCTAGGGTTCAAATTAATCTATGATAGTTAGAGATATTTTCTATGATTCTATGGCTTCTTGGATTGTTTTAACCTAAGATTTGTGTGTATAGTTATTAGTTTTCGAAGCTGAAGCACTTAGAATCTTATATTTTTTAATGAAAAGATTCTATTCTAACTTATTTGACACCCTTAAGGATATAATGTGCTCCTATACTTTTAATGTGTTTAAAGAATTCCTTATGATTTTTTGAGATTTGAAATTAAATACATACCATCTATGTGCACTATGATATGACCTTTACAAGTTCAAATATTCTCAACATAATTTTAGCATAACTAAATATGTAATAAGAGTCGAATTATGAGGATAGTTTAGCCCTAAATGATTCTATTTTAATCTAAAATTTTGTATAGATTTAGTTTTATATGTCTCCTAAGTTTTTGTAAAATTTCATGATTATACAAGATGGTTTAGTCATTAATAATAGTGAAGCAAGATTTCTTTACAGAATCAATCACATTGTTATTTGATTGATAATTACTAGGTCATTTGATTATAGGTTGAATTGTTAGCAAATTGATGATATAATTTAGGTGAATTTGCAGGTTGGCTATAATTCAAGTCAAAAGAGATTCTACTAAAATTTTGCTATAAATTATTGCTTAGATTGAGAGTTATAAGTAATTTAAGATGTAAGGTTCTTAATTTAGGCATATCATGACTCTGTATTCCAAATTTAATAGGTTTACAACTGACCATGGTCCTTCACTAGCACTTTCATTTTAAGTCGAATCAGATAATTATATGTTTAATTTACTATATACTAATGGTCATATGTATTATATGTATTATATGTATTTATAATGTATTTTTGAAAAGTATGTTTTGAATAATATGATAGCTATGAGCTAGGTATAAGCTTGAAATTAATGTACATATTACATAATCGTAAAAATATATAAATTATAGTGAAAATATATTACATGCATTTATTTGCTGGTGTGAGAATGCATACATATGTTATGACATATGATATAGGAGTGCACGGATATGTTATGATATATGATGCATATATATGTTATGGTATAGGAGTATACGTATGTATATATTGTGCAATGTAGTATAAACTTGTATGTATATATTATGACGTATGATATGAGAATATATATATATATATATATATATATATATATATATATATATATATATATATATATATATATATATATATATATATATATATATATATATATATAAAAATATGTTTGTGAGAAAATTTGCAAAATATTTTGTGCGCTCATAAATGTGTGTGTTCCATATAGACATAAAAAAAAATATATATTTTTTTATATATGTGTCATAATAT